AAAATACATTATAGAAGCATTACCCACCCACTCTTGAAAGATTTTAAGGAATTTGAATGACTCAGACACTCATATACATTAGCCATTTAGTTCTTAAGCAGTTTTCTTTGAAGCCCTAATTTTTCTAATTTTAATTTTACATCTGTACTCAGAGCCACGTTCATAGTGATAAGTCTTTGAGATAATTAAGGTGCAGAGTTTTCTTCGATACCCATTAATGGTGGTGGTGATAGTGTGCCCTGAGTCGGTTCTGACTCATGGTGACTCTGTTTAGATTTTCTCTAAGTCTTTAGAAGCAAAAAACCTCATCTTTCTCCCGCGGGACAGCTGATAATTTTGAACTTCTGACCTTGAGATTAGCAGCCCGACTTGTAACCACTACACTACCAGAGCACCTTTTCGTACCCATTGTTGTTGTTGTTGTTGTTAGGTGCCATCGAGTCGGTACTGACACATGGCGACCTTTTGGTTTTTGTTCATATGTATTATGAATCTGTATTCACTATTCGAATTTGTAGGTGATGGAGAGGTAATTGAACAAGTCATAAGCCTACAAACCAATGACAATGGTGATCAAAGCCCAGAGCCCAGTATTCTTGATGGAATGATAAGACAGTTGCAGCAGCAGCAAGATCAGAGAATGGGAGCAGATCAGGACCCTGTTCCAGTTGGACTTCCAGCTGGGGAAGAAACACCCAGACGAGGTAATAAATATGACAAATATTTTCCCTTAATATGGTCAGTTTGAGATAGGAGACTAACTGAAACTACTGTCAGATATGTGCAATGGGAAGAAGTTCGGTAAGCAATGTATTACTTTTGTAGTAAATTATTTTTATAACTAGTATATTGGTGGTGGTGGTGGTGGTTATGTTCCCTGGATCCGGTTCCGACTCATAGGGTTTTTGAGGCTGAAAATCTGTAGAGAAGCAGAAAGCCTCATCTTTCTCCCACAGAACCGCTGGTAGTTTCAAACCAGCTGACCTTGAGGTTAGCAGCCCAACTTGTAATCACCTGTCCTACCAAAGCTCATTAATAGTATATTAGGTAGATATATTAGCCGCACAGTTGATGTAGAAACAAATGGGCATTTGATTGTTGAAGTCCTGATGTTGGGCTGTGGGATGAAGCACAGGACCACAAGGTCAGTTTGAAACAGAGGTCGGTGGTTCAAACTCTCCAGCTTGATGTCACTTAACAATAGCAACAACAATGAAAGGTTACTGAGATCCTCTTGCATTAAAATTGGAATATTTATAAAATTTTATTGTTTAAATATGTCTACGTTTAGTTATTGGCATCCTGGTGTGGCGCTGTGGGTTAATGTGCCAGACTGCAAAGCCATTTGAACTGCAAGGTTGTTGGTTCAAGCCCACCAGCTGCTCCTTGGAAACCTTATATAGGGTCGCTATGGGTCGGAATCGACTTGACGGCACTTAACAACTGTGATTTTATAGCAGTATTTTTTTGACTTACCCTTGGATACATGTATTCTTGTGCACCCTGTGTTTTGTTTCCTTCACTACTTATTTACATGTAATTATTTCCATTCAGAATGTTTTTTTGCATCGTATTTACAGGTTTGTATCACTCTATTGTGGGACATAACTACGTTTTGTTACTAGCCTGTTTATGAACATTTAATTTAAATCTCTTTCTTGGCTATTACAAAGGATGCTGTGACAAATAGCCTTGTGCATGTGTTTTCTTCAGGTTTTTTGAAGGATAGCAATATGACTTAGGCAGTCAAATTTAGAATTTATAATTCTCAGTTTGAGCATTTCAAGCGTCAGCATATTTTAATATAAATATTTGGATTAATAGGAGCATTTGATGCCATTCCTTGTAGGGAAAGTGTAGTGTGTTCTGTTTCGCAAACTGCTTCACACAGATTGGTAAATAAAAGAAAGTTGCAAATAGAAGTTCATGGGCGAGGAGAAGTGGAGTGGCTGGAGTAAAATTTCATAGCCTTCAGTAGGAAGGGATGTAATGCCTTCAGCATCTCTAGTGCATAAATAACAAGAGCCCTTTCAATCTGTATGTAAAGGAAATGAGTTGTATAAAACTGGCCTTCCCCAAAGACAGAACTAGTATTTATAGCCTCTAGTCAGTGGAAGATTGCACTGCCTCCTTCCTGTGACTGCATGCATGGCATCTCGCTCCAAAGGCTCAGAGTGCCTCTGATGTCTGTGTTGCCCAGACAACTCTTATTCATTTGCTGCCAACATATTTCTATATGGGTTTTCATTTTTGTGCAATTTTAATAACTACTTTGGCATCTGCCTTCCTGTTTGACTCAGATTACCCTTCAGGTAGTAATTCTTGTGTTTCTTTTTTTCATTTCAATGATTACAATCAGTTCCATGTATTATCAATTAACAATATTTGCCTCTTCCCTCTTTTTTTCCTTTGACGCACACAAAAACATTTAGGAATATATAATCGTTTAAACAACCAAAGGGGACATTTTGCAAGCCAATCTTCTCCCCACTAGCACATAGCCTTTCTCTTTCCATGAGTTTGGAGTCCTCAGCTGCTCTCTCTCTCCATGCCATCACCTCTGCCTCCCATCTCTGGTGGTGTTCCTTCTTTGGTTAGGATCTCATGTTCTGTTCATGCCCTTCCCTCTTGATGCAATTGATGTTTTTGTTACAGCTCTGATTTTAAAGCCACCTTAATTTTGAGGAGTCTGTGGTTAATGGTCCTTTTTTCATAAGATGTGATTTTAGTATGCACTTTTGAAGAAATCGAATTTATAGCAGTGTAAATTATAATAGCATTATATTAGAAAACGCCTATGTTGTTGAAGTTCCGTTGTGATTTTTAGTGATCTTGTGTAGTATTTCCGAGACTTTATACATATATATTTGTGGGAGAGGAAGCCTGGTCTTTCTTTCATGGAGCAGCATGTGAATTCGAACTGCTGTCCTTGTGGTTCACAGTCCAGTGCTTATCCTATGGAACCCCACTGTACTCCCCAGAAAATGCCTATAGATTTTATTTATTTTTGTTTTGGTTTGGGTGAAAGTTTACAGAGCAATTTATATATTTTTAAAAATTTCACTTAATAATTTACATATTTTTTGCCTCATAATATCAGTTGTAGTCCCTTCAATGTATAAGCACTATTTTCACTTCATCCTTGTATTCTCCCGTTTCCATTCATTCTTGTTTCCTACAGTGTCTTGCCTTTTGATATTTGTTTTGGGGCACATGTTGTCCTTTCAATCTTGTGTATTTTACTGTTTTGAGGATTGCATTCCTCATGGGTATTTTGTTCACTTTTGTAGGGTTTTATTTTGTGGCTAAAAGGTGATTAGGGTAGGGTTGGGTTGGGCTTTGTTCTACATTTGAGGGTCCTGATCTGTCTACAGGCTTTACCTGTTTCTTTCAGACAAGTTTTTGTTGTTGTTGATAAGTGCCATTGAGTCAGTTCCAGTTTATACCAGCCTTGTATAGGGTTTCTGAAGAGTGCCTGGTGGGTGAACTGATGTATCTTGCGGTTAGCAGTCCAGTGCTTATCCTACAGCACCAAACCAGTATGTCTGGTCTTATTTATGATTTTGCATTTTGTTCTATATTTTTCTCCCTTTCTACTCAGAATCTATCTTCTCTTGTGATCCTAATCAGAGTGATCAGTTTGTGTGGGAATCATCTAGTTCTTGTTGACACTGGGTACTGCAGAGGTGGTTATCATGGTCTGTTTGGACAGTTGTTTCATTTAGTTGTCTATTTGTTCAGTCTTCTTTGCTCTGGATTGTGCTTTTAAAATGGCAGCAACTATAGAATTTAAAACTTCTGAAAGTCTATTAAGCACTAAATGCTAGGTAAACATTTGTGTTGTAGTGTATGCTTTTCTTATGTTTTCAGTCATATTAAGGTGACTGTTTTTGATAGGGAGGAATGTATGCATGCTACATGTTAACTGAATACTTGCTTGAAATTTATTTTGGAATAAAATTTTGTTCATGTTTTTCTAGGGTTTAGAAGACTAAGTTTAGACATTCAATCCCCTCCAAATATTGGTCTTCGCCGTAGTGGACAAGTTGAAGGTGTTCGTCAAATGCATCAAAATGCTCCTCGTAGTCAGATAGCTACAGAACGTGATCTGCAAGCTTGGAAACGAAGAGTGGTTGTACCAGAGGTACCACTAGGCATATTTAGGTTTGTTTTAGGATATCTATTTCTGTTGTCCCTGTTGATGAAAATATATGCATATGGCTATCTATACATCTTTTATTCCATTAGTTGTATAAATTCAATAAATACATTTTAGTATGAAAGGGCTTCATAAAGTTCTATTTTCTATGTACTGTTTGAAACCACCCTTGTAATTGGTTAAAAAAAAAAAGCACACAAAAAAACCCCTATTTTAATGTTATAGTTATTAAAATAATTTTCTTTATACAAGGGTAGATTTTTTTCATAACAAATCATGTTTCATCTTTAACAACACTCATTTTCTTCCTCAATATTATTTTGAAAGAAATCTCAGACATTATCATTTCATTTCTGCATACTTCAGTGTATTATTTCTAAAAATTAATGAACTATTTAAAAATATAAGCACAATACCATTTTCATAACTTTAAAGAGTATACAGTTCTTTAAAATAAGCAAATATCCATTCAGATTTCTACTTTTCTTGATTGGAATTATGTTTTCAGTTCTTTGAAAGACTGTTTCGTTGGCGGTATAATTCTTTCTGGAGGTTACATATATCTCTGTTCATGCTATTGATTAGGAATTATAGAATATTGACATTTTAATTTTATAAGTCTTCTTTATTTGTTAGCTTGGATTCTTCTTAAAAAGGAAATTTCTCCAAATTTGTAGGAAATTGGAAGACTTCAGAATAGAGAAAGGTGAAGAGGAAAGAAATCTTTATATAATTGGAAGAAAAAGGAAGACTCCCCAACTCTCCCAAAAGGTAATCTAAAATTCTGTTTTCTTAGAAATAGTAAGTTAGAAAAGAAATTTATATTTAATGTAAGTAATTGTTGTTAAGTGCCATTGATTCTGTTCCAATTTGTAGCAACTCTGTATAGGGTTTCCGAGGAGCAGCTGGTAACTTTGAACTTCTGACTTTGTTCACAGTCTAGTGCTGATCCTATAGTGCCGTACCAAGAGTCTGTATAGAGGTTAGCATTATGTATTATGTATAAATACTGGGCTTGGTATAACTTATGAATATTCTCAAGAGTTCTTTTTGATCTCTGAAAATATTAGTAGTTTTCACCTAAGTGTGAAATATTTCATACTTAGGGACCTTTGGGATTTAAAATAGTAGACTTAAGCTTATATAGGTATTAGGAATTCTAGAAAATTGCTCTTTGATGACTACTTGGGTGAAGAGCTAAAACATTACTTGCACTTCAAAAGCACTTTTTGTCCACTCCTTATCTTTCCTGTCTTCTTTCTCCCACAGATAACTAATGTCTTATTTTAAAACCATCAACTTTCCCTATTTTTGAAATTTACCTGTATCATACATTACATTGGGAGCAATATTGCTTTCTGTGATCACAATTGGTTCTTTTGGGGGGGGGGATCATGGAGTCTATAATCCAGTGTGTAACCCTGTTTGCCCTTGACCCATTGCCATTGATAGGCTGTGACCCAGAGCCACCCAATAGGACAGAGCAGTACTGCCTCATTGCATTTCCCAGGCTAAAACCTTGATGGATGCGTACTGCCTTTTCTTTCTCCTGCAGAGCTGGTGGGTGGAGCTGTTAATCTTTTAGTTAGCAGTTCATAGCTTAAATCCACTGCACCACCAATTATTTAACTTCTCCAAAGATCAGCTTGAGAAGATAAAACCAAATACTACAATAAAATATGCAAAGATTTAGAATTAGAAAACCAAAAAGGAAGAACACGGTCAGCATTTCTCAAGCTGGGGGGAACTAAAGAAAAAATTCAAGCCTTGACTTTCGTTTTTGAAAGATGATTCTCTGTGCAAATTATTGAATGATGCAGAATGCATCAAGAAAAGAGGGAAGGAATACACAGAGTCTTTGTACCAAAAGGAAATGGTTAATGTTCAACCATTTCAAGAGATACCATATGAACCAAGAGCCAATGATACTCAG